AACTAGTGTTATACCAGACTGTTTGTATAATTTACTGGGCTCAGTGTAACTAGTGTTATACCAGACTGTTTGTATAATTTACTGGGCTCAGTGTAACTAGTGTTATACCAGACTGTTTGTATAATTTACTGGGCTCAGTGCAACTAATGTTATGCAAGACCGTCTGATTGTACAGTTTGCTCACGATAAAAGATGAAACTGGTGGTAGTACTGCTACTTATTCAATGCTTTCATTAGAACTACCTTCAAACAGAAACTTTTAAAAACAATTTTATGAACACAAAATCATTTAAGTATGTCTATGATGAGCATAACTTCATACATTTTAGAAATAATTTTATGTCATTCATATCTTATCTAGCCATTAGTGAAAAACAATAATCTCGTTTAACAATTAATCATTCAGTGTGTAACAAAAAATATTTTAACATTGTGTTCACCACTGACATCACACAGTTAATGTTAAGCAATCATTAGCTGAACATTAGCAGATAAAGTTTGTTAGTTATCCAATGTTGCCACTAGAACTGAAGATGACCCGTTAAGCCATACTGGATTGGGTTTTTTTTTCACTCGTGGCTAAAGCATTTATAGTGGACAACAAAAACAAAATGAAGTCTAGTAATATATAATATTAAAAAGCACAAAATACATTAGTAGGATATCTGTTTAAATGTGAAATAAACTAGTCAGACTTGTTGTATATATATATACGACTTTTCTGTAAACAAATACATAGATTAGGTAGTTTACTCTAACAAAAGTTAATAATAAATCACGATTGAATTTGTCATTGTATCATCTACTGTAGAAACGTTTGTATCTCGTATTTTGTAAAAAACGAACTATGAAACAAAAGTTGATCATAAAATATGTTTATAGAAGTACGAAAAAAACTGCAAAGCACATCTAATGAACGTTAACAAGTTACTGAAAACCTATAAAAGAACCATCAGCTTGTTTTAGCTTTACACTACATCTATGGAAGACAAGCATTTTACAGAAAATCGTGTTTTTAATTCATCTAGGTACCTTCACCAAGTATTCATGATGCTGAACACATTTTTATAACATTATATCTAGATGATAGACCACAAGTAGGCCACTGAACAAGTTTGATTATATCTTCTAAAAAAAAAAGAAATATATCAATTATCCACGACGTAATTTCACACTAAAAGAATCGGTGAAATCCTTTTCAAAAAGCCATGTCTTAAAGGCATGTCCCAGCTTACTTATTACAAGGATGTCATTCTTCAACTACACTGGACACTTAGATAAATTCATTATCTAAACTTGCGTATGATAAACATTTTGAAGAGAAATGTATATATGATTGCTCCAGTATTATGTGCACACAGATGACATTACGTTTGATGCCATTATAAAAATATATCACTTGCAAAACCAATTTCATCTGTTTATTTTTTGAAATGTACTAATTTAAAAACTCCGTTCAATGCCAAGTTTTTGAACAGTACACCCTTTAATTCAACTGTGGGCTGGATGTTACTGTGTGTGTTAACGCTTTTTTTAATAAACGAATGGCAAGACACAACCAAATTCTGAAGTTATCGCTTTTCCCAAACAATGTTAATATACATAAAATGTCTGAAGAAATGCAAATTATTACATGCAAAAAAAAAAAAAAAGATAACAATAACGATCATTGTACACTACACTATGGGAGGAGGGGGTAGTGTTTACAGTCTTTTAAATGTTATTGTACACTGCAAGTTTATATGACAAATAGTGTTTAGGATGTTTCTCAAAAATGATTCTACACTAAACACGGGAAGATGAAAGCAGTGTTTAGTACATTAGTCAAGCATGATCCTACGCTACACATAGGTGGCAGAAAGCAGTGTTCAGTACATTAGTCAAGCATGATCCTACGCTACACATAGGTGGCAGAAAGCAGTGTTTAGTACATTAGTCAAGCATGATCATACGCTACACATAGGTGGCAGAAAGCAGTGTTTAGTACATTAGTCAAGCATGATCCTACGCTACACATAGGTGGCAGAAAGCAGTGTCTAGTACATTAGTCAAGCATGATCCTACGCTACACATAGGTGGCAGAAAGCAGTGTCTGGTACATTAGTCAAGCATGATCCTACGTTACACATAGGTGGCAGAAAGAAGTGTTTTGTGAATGCCTAAAGTTAACATAAATCCAGTAAAAATTTCTGAACTACATATCAACTACACAATTTGTAATACCAAGCATGTAGGTAATCAATAACACACCAAAAACAGCAGATACGATCAAAATAAAGGCAAACTACAGTTTTTCTGTAGCATGTTTCACAGAGACAACTAAAAATATCCTTCATAACCTTCACCAACAGATCGTGTGGCTTACTAACCAGCTCGGAACACCAGAAAAGATTGACAATATAATTTGTTTGTTTTTTTCTTATCAGGTCCCAAACGTTATTTGCTAGAATACTCGCAAAGAAACCACTGCTATACATAATATACTGTAGAGTAGTGATAACATTATGTAAAGCAGTGGTTTCTTTGCTGCATTAACAAATTTTATCACTACTCTACAGTATATTATGTATAGCAGTGGTTTCTTTGCTGCATTAACAAATATACTGTAGGGTAGTGATAAAATTTGTTAATGCAGCATGCTATTGATGTTAGCACACGTTTGGTTCAGTATTCTGGTACGCTACAAATTTCACTTTCTGGAAAACAGCTTGAGCAACTCCTCCTGACGAGGCTTATAAGTCCATCAGTTGTGAGAATGAAAAAACGGTTTATACGGAAATTTTAAAAATGTCCGTATTATCATGCTCCGTTAAACACGTATAGAGGAACGGGCTACAGAATGAGCAGGTGATGTCATGAATAATCTTGTCATCACTTTTCAGCTAAAGAAGTGACATTTTGTAAAGTTCCAAGAAACAGGGTATTTTTTTATATCACTATTCATTTTAAAATAGATGTCTGCTTTAAAATAACTAACAGTATGGATTAAAACCTTAACATTTCACTCCAAAGGGCTGAATTATTAGGTGATTTTCCTAAAAATAACATAGCGAAATGACAACTTAACAAAACCATGTTTTGCCAAGTTTGTAAGGAACATCTCTTTCTCTTTAGCTCTATGAATAGTACTATTAAATACTTTAATGCTGAAAGTACTTAATAGTATGGATGTTTTAAGCAGATCCACAGCCAGGCAGCAGATATTATAGCTAGCCGGTGGTAAGTTAGGGTTATTTTCTTGACTTGGCTGAATTAATAAGCAGGTGATGTGAAACCAGAGTTAAAATCATCTTCATGACTAGGAAGGTGGTGGTGACAAACCAGAATTAAAAAACTGTCTTCCCAACTGGTTAACTGAACCACAGTTGTGTTGTACTATACCTGGATATATTGCTACTGAGAAGAACACTGACATTTGAATAGCTACACAATACTATACCAGCTGGTACTAAAGTTAACTCGCCTACTGATAACGTCTTAAACTGTACAAGGTAAGAGTCATATATAGTGTAACAAAAACATAACACCGCTGAATTTTAATGCATTTTTTTACAGCAGCAGCTACAAAATATGACATAACTCGTTACAAGAATATCAGTTAAAGTGTAACTATTTTTATTCTTATTAGAGAAAGAGCAAGATGTGCCGAAAGCTGTAGTTTTTTCTGACCATCCTGGCAAGAGACAAATTATTTCTTTACCCTAAATCCCCTTGATATGGTCTTCAAAGCATCATCGTTGAGGCTTCAGTGTAGTTAAACATCCAAAATCTTGATCTTCGACATATGGAAGCAGAAGTACTCTGTTCGTGACTCTCGGTAAAGTTGAAGTTTATAAGACTGATTGTTACATGCTTTCTGTTCTTGAGGTGAATTTTGAAAACACCTTAAAAAAAACAACAAAAAAACAAAACAAGGAGCGTAATATTGTCTTATTTGACTGTGTGTGTGTTGTACTTTGGTTTGTTGTGGAATTCCTGCTGTTATAAAGCCTTCAATATATGAAGCCAATCAGAAAAAGTCTTGCACTAAAGAATATATTAGAGATTTGTTATTAAGTCACAACAACTTTGCTTCAAGTCTAGACTGATGCTTGATAAACAATGGCAAAGAAGTTTTTTTTGAACCTACAAATAACAGAACATATACAGACTACACAACATTAGAACTTATAGCCTCCCATGGGAATATTGGCATCTGGGTTAAACTGGAATTCCTGATTGCCCTCATCAACACTAGGGGCCACTCGGGAATCCTCTTCCTCCGTTCCAAAGTAGTGCTCAATTATATCAAAGGCTTTTTGATAAATCTCCATGTTTTCATGAGACTGAAGAAACTCAATCTTATCCAGACCTGCAAACATCACAAGAAAAAATTGTAGTATTAACCTTCTGCTCAAAATTTCAGACTACTTGTGTATTCTTTTCGTGCTTTAAAAGCACCCACAAGCTGCAAAATTAATCTGAACTACTCTAAAACCAGCAATAAAAAAACTTTTGAAACTATATTAGACGTATCGTTAACCTTTTTAAAACAAAGTGCATTACAACTGTAATCTACAAGTAACTGTTAAAAGCTAAGGACATCAATAAAAAGTCTCGATATTAATTTTCAAACCAATAATATTCAATCTGAATATTTCTTTTCAATATTTACACAAAATTAAACAAGGGCTAGCTATCTGCACTAATCATCTTTAACTATGAATTGATAGGCTAGAGAGAATGTAGCTAGCCAAAACAACCTGCCATCAACTCTTGGGCTATCCGTATTGCACAGTGGGATTTGACTGTCACTCTTAAAATGCACCAAAGTGTGGTGCACAGTCTTATGGCAACAGGATGTGAACCACGGCCCCAAAGATTCATAGCTCGTTACAAAAAAAGAGTGATTTTACGTTGTTTAACTATACAATCACGATAAACTTCATAAACATTAAGTTGCATTACAAAAAAACATTGCAATGCATATTACACACATTTGATAAATCATTTAATTTCCAGATAAGTCAATATGACTGACCTGTTTACTAACACACCAACACTAAACTTGTGATAAAAGAAGAATGAATATTTCTTAAAACAATGCTTTGAGCAATTCCCCCCTCCTTCCCGATAAAGAAACACAACCCAAAATGTCTACACAAATCTCAATAACACATACTATAGCATGCGATCCCTTTGCTTCCACTCATGAATTCTTAGAATCCTCATTACTTCTCTTGAATTACCAACAACTTGACTGTGTAATCCAGTTTTACTGCTCTTGAAACACCAGTAACTTGACTGTGTAATCCGGTTTTACTGCTCCTGAAACACCACTAACTTGACTGTGTAATCTGGTTTTACTGTTCTTGAAACACCACTAACTTGACTGTGTAATCCAGTTTTACTGCTATTGAAACACCAGTAACTTGACTGTGTAATCTGGTTTTACTGCTCCTGAAACACCGGCAACTTGACTGTGTAATCTGGTTTTAATGCTCCTGAAACACCAGTAACTTGACTGTGTAATCTGGTTTTACTGCTCCTGAAACACCAGCAACTTGACTGTGTAATCTGGTTTTACTGCTCTTGAAACACCACTAACTTGACTGTGTAATCCAGTTTTACTGCTCTTGAAACACCAGTAACTTGACTGTGTAATCTGGTTTTACTGCTCCTGAAACACCAGCAACTTGACTGTGTAATCTGGTTTTACTGCTCCTGAAACACCAGCAACTTGACTGTGTAATCTGGTTTTACTACTCTTGAAACACCAGTAACTTGACTGTGTAATATGGTTTTACTGCTCTTGAAACA